TATGATTCACCTTTGATGTGTGGGTTCCTATATTCGCCCGATCTAATGCGTTATTGATAGCTGTTATGTCGGTTAGGTTCAATTTATGGGTTTCTTTTGCCTGCAGTTTTGATACAGTCACTTGTTCGTGATCGCCGGACGCAATCAGTTGAAAAGTTTGGTGGGCAAATTCTTATACAAGCCAGTTGCACGGTACCCTCGCTGATTACGCTACTGAGGGAGACCAAAGATTCTTCATCATAGGTTGGTGTAGCACCAGATGGTTTAGGCAATGTTCAATGTATCCTAATGGTGTCATTTTCGGGAGCATTTCGAGATGCATAACGTGGGAGATACCACTGAAAAACAGGTGAACACAAATCCCACATTCTGATATAATGAAGGAACAACATTCACAAAGCGTGAAGCAAAGCTTAACTTGGCAACATCCAAACTTGTCGATTCATCCATTCATTTATCCAATAAAATTAGCGGACGAAAGCGTGAAGCGGGATTTATTGTTTCACAAATTACTCAGGGTCCAAGTAACGGAATTTAGATGTTACGACACTAAGCAGTGTTGTGTTATGTATTCATTGTCGTTTAGGTCTAACTTGTTCTGGAAAATTCCTACGGACGCTCATCTTCATTTTATGAATGGGTACTTCATGGCCTTTAATTCGTCAGCTCTCCAAGTGACTGGAAGAATAAACTTCAAACGTGGATTGCTGTTGTTTTCCTGTTAAGACAGTGAGCCATGTGAATCATCTTAAAATTACTTAACTCAATCAGATAAACCTTATAGGAAGCAGATCACCAAAAACGTTAGATTTCCTGTATGTGAGGAATGACACTCACATAGTTATTATGTATGTTGCTGCTTAGATAATTGTAAAAGAAAATATACATACGGTAGCTGTTTGCGTAACGTCTTGAGTTCCCGGAAATGCATTGATTGTGAAAATGCTTGAAACGTTAACAGCCTATTGATATGCTCCATTGGCTGCGTGGACTCTTCCTGACTATTTCCACTGAAGTCACAAACATGTGTGGAATATTCAGAGGGTTTGCTCGGAGATTTGTAAGATATTGCGCGCCAGCTTTCTGCGTTGGCAGAGCACTGATCAACAAATTGGTTTGACGAACGTGCATGTCTCTAAACTAACATCGTCTTGAATCTGATGGCATTTGTGTGGTTATGGTTGATCTTCTGCGATTGGTGATTCACGACCATAATTCCAAAAACGTTTTTACAGCCTCAAAATTTACTTTTTTGTCAGGGCTCAGTTCTTTACATAAAATAAAAGAAGAGTTTTAAAATCCACCAGAAAAGTGAGTGCTGTGTGAGTAAAAGTAGTTTACGAATAAGGTTTGACGTAGCTCCAAACTAAACCCGAGAGTAATGCGGGGTTAAAACCACACTGCGTTTATTCACATAACTGTTCCACCAACGCAACAGTCTTCATGTATGTCACTGTGGTCACTTTATACAGTCCATTATTGAACACTGCATACAATCTTTAACTAGAAGCTCACTCTTTCAAGCGTGTATATTTGGCCCAATATATCATCCGTCCGGTGAATCACGGTTCAGAATTTTTAGGCAACGTATAGGGTCCCCCTTACATTTATTATTGCCTTGTGGGTCAGGCGTTTCAGCCATAGTCTCAAAGCGGGAAACTTTGAACAAACACTCTCCGAGGCCTGATTAACGGGGTGTGTTATTGGATGACAAAATTCTGTGTTCAACAATGTTACTCCTCAACTCCTTTATATAACAAATGCAGGCGTTTTTTAAACTGGCCGGAGAGACTTGTGCTAATCCCTGCGGATCAACGATAAAAACAATGCATTCAAGTTCCCATTCACTTCTTCCTATAAAGGAGCTTTCAGCGTCCGTACTCTATGTCCAACTGGCAAAAAACGCAATGAAGAAACCTTGTAGCCATTCAAACTGATGCACAATCTATCCACAAAGACACTAGCAAGACCCACGAATTATTATGCATCTCAGAGAGCCCAGCGCGAATTTGGGGTCTTCGGATTTTTCTCCCCGTGTGTTCGTCGGTCCAGAAGGGTGATTTGTGACATGCATTTTGCACAAACCTTGGATCTGTATAGGCCTGACCAGATTAGATCTCACTGAAGAGTCGTCGTTGCACAATCCATTTATCCCGTCCGATTAGATCCAACGCTTCCGTCTTGTAAAGCTCTTCCCGTCTGTCAGCTTTTGACTGTTCGGGGTGCAGCTTTCATGCTGAGCGGGATTTTTCTAGGACGGAAGTTATTTTAGCTCGCTTGTCAAGAGAGAGGCACTGACGCTGTGACATATGCGGGCGATATAATTGCTTAATTTGGTGATCTGAAATCAAATTTGGGCGGTTGGTCTAATGCCATTCCTAGTCGCTGATCAATTACCGTTTTCAGCCAGTAATAACTTTTAACTAAAGTTTCATGGATCACATCTCCACCCCCTAGCCCACCCTGGAACCGCGACACTGCTTCCCGCACTCATCAATGTTTGTGTTGCTTGATAAATTAGTTGCATTTTTCTCTACGTACTTCAAGCAACGAAGCATAGGTGACCCCCATAAATTCTCGACCATCCATCAGGCGCTTTATGCCAAACCCCGCTGCTGTGTGAAATTCTCCGGGAAGCTATCACCTAAGCTCACCGCATTAGGCGGTGTTCGACATGAATGCAAACGTTGACATCTAGTATTCAACTTCCTCAACGATTATGGAACATTCTACTCCAGTCTGGACTCGATAACCTCCCAGAAAATCCGCCCTTGGATATTGATTACGCGGACGGCATAGCCACTATTGAATCTGATGCCTTGATAACGCAGAGAATATTAAATAATCCAAATAATTCTCTCACGCAGTTTGGCATGCACTTCACGTCTGCAAATATCAAGACCAAGTAGGCTTGAACCCTAGCCACATGCCTGCAGATGAGCTACTTGACATGGTACACAATTTCTTCTACCTAGGCAGCTGTATCATTCCCGAACATCTGGGGGAAGGTAATATTTCCTTCCTACTTGGGAGCCCCACATGAGTGGACATGTGCCAGTCGCGCCTCCAATTAAGGCCGGGTGTCCAATTTATTGTTTTAATTGCATGGATCCTTACCAGTCTTTTCATTTGGAAGCCCACTAGCAGTCCTATATTAACGCACTATCTCATCAGTTTATCTCACCTCTCATAATTATCGATGGACCAGTTTGCGGCAGCTGCCAGCACTTCCTACATCTGAATTTGTGCAATGATGATGATGATGATGAGAATTTAATGTTTATGAGCCCATTCTCATTGCGGGCTAACCCATTTTTATTCCTACCTGAGGGAGATATGCCAGCCGGAATCTGCGATTAAACAAACTAGCCGCGTGTAATTTAATCAGCTCAAAAGCACATGCATTCTTTTTTTCACATTTCTGTTGGGGTTGGTGATGCTGGGAACTGGTACTTTCGCCACACCAACCCAAGCATTTGTGTCATATTCAAATGATTCGGGATTATGGATTCAGGTGCCGACGAAATGGATAATTAGATCTTTGTTTGAGTCTGATTTGATCTAAACACATTTTGGGCCTAACGTCTCAGTGATATAATTCTACATCCTCCTACGTCACCGTCTTTAATTATAACTGAAACTATTTTGTCCGCACACTTCCCTCAATGAAAGCATAAGCTTCAAGCCAAACGAAAATACTTCATTTTTTATCTCACCAGGGATTGCCAGGAAACCGCAAGGTCCCTAATAATTTCCCACTGTTTGTAGATCCCCTTATCATTTTGACTTAATAAGATTGCGTGATAGGTCTGGCTTTCTAGATCACTGGCGCACCACAACCCACGTTGACCGCACTATCTAATATAGAACCAGAAAACAATCGTCCGTTGTATAGCTATAAGTGAAGCTGGATCAATTGGCTAATCGTAGCAAAGTTTTACCAGTAGAGTTGCTGGAATAGGAGGATTCCAGCAATACTCGAATGCACCGCTCATTGAGATGTTTGGAAAGATTATTAAAAATATTAGAAAATAAAATTATTAGAACCAAGTATAGACGTAATACATTACTCATAAAAATGCCGGAAATTCTTTGACAACTGATGACCGGGCTCGCAATTGTTGCGGCTCCTCATGTAGGCAGAGTTCTCCCCAATAAAGGGGGATTCATCTGGGTTCCACGTGATCTCTCCCGAAAACGTAATTTGCTTGAAAATGAATGTTTTTTAAAAGAATCTCCTTCTGTAGACCAATCTCTGCATTTTCTTTGCAAAAATATGAAAGACAAGAACATCACGAGACAAGAAATGCTGGAATGGCGGATTCGTAACCTATGCTCACACGACCGTGAGTACAGATCACCTAATGCGATCGAGGCTGGTATCTGAAGTTCACATGCCTTTCGGGTCCACTGCGTTACACATTCATTTTCACGATCATGGATGAAATGAAAGCCAATCATGCCGGACCACGAATAAAATGGAAAACGGTCGAAATCTGCCTCCCCATGCAACATACCTACTGCCCCCTTTGCATAATTAGATGATTCCCTGAATAGGGCATTGAGAGCTTTAGCACTAAGGCAGCCGTGTATCAATGGTGTGTACCAATCGGGTCAAATAGTGATTTCATTCCAGCTTAAAGATTTAAGACAATCATTAAAAGTGACAGACACTACAAATCCCGCAGATAAAGTTTGTGCACACATGCCGCGAGAGGTCGAACTATTAAATATTTGAACCGAATAAAGTTCTTTTGCTGGAAACCAAGGATTGAACCGACGTTTACCGAAATCCTCTCTCTAAGTTCATACTAGACAATGTGTTTTCTACTAGTATGATGAGAACCGAAGTGCGCTGACTATTATTTGTCTTCCGATATCAAAAATAACAGATGTAGAAACATACAGAAGCATCTGTATTGGCATGAAAAAGCGTCCGAATGTGAGAATACTACACAGAAACTCAGCAGACCCACGGTTGAATCCAACTTTTTCGCTGCTTAGTCAAACATTGACAAAAAGTGTTCCATGAAAGACATTCCCAGTATCATGTCTTCATTTCTTATTGCTGGATCCGAAACGATCGAACTGAAACACTGTGTCCGTCCTTGCGTCGTATCCTGATGAGAAAATTGAATTAAATTTCCTATTTTTCACTAGATTCAGAATAAACTACCTGTTTTACTAGGTAACACAACAGCCAATCATGTGTGAATGTAGGTCACAGGTTAGGGCGAATGACACATATCAGGCAGTTTAACAAATCAGCTTTTTGCTTGCAAGCAGCTGCGTCTGAGCTACAAAAATTTGCACTCGGTCAGTCTGCGTGCTTCCCATTCACACCGTGCGATACGACCTTCAAAACGCTGCACTTACTTTTTGAACATACTGTTCGGGGAGAAGATTCAGGTCTGTCCCTGGCAAACTGATGACGAGGGTAGGTAAACGGGGTATTCGGTTACAGTCAACGACGTACACATTTCCGGATAACGTGGCTCCTAATGCAGCGTTAATTTGATTCGCGCAACCCACAATAGCTTTGTTCAACCAGGTGGTGCTGTCAAGCGTTGCAGTAAATCTTATCGAGGAAATCCGTCCTGTATGTGTACTGAGACTAGGAGTGAGATGAAAGTTTGGAATAAGTAAATACGTGTCTTGTTCCGGCGTTTTAGTTTGTTCATTTGGCGCTTTGCGTACTTACCCAAGTACTTCAATCTTCCAACCTCCATGACTGACATCTGCGGTTACCATGTGAAAGTCTTCCGGGTAAATTCTGTGATGAGAACCAAACACAACTTGAGCGTCAGGTTCGAAATCGTTGCGATGGTTTGGACTACGAAAAGAAAAAAGACTATTTTCGCATCACCAATGAGAGAACTGAAAAACTTTATGCACTGATTTTTCATCGAATCAGCGGGACGAATTATGTAACATACCATACACAAAGTAGAGTGAACATCTTGTACTATATCAGCTGCTGTCCTGCTAATACATTGAGAATGTAGGAATCGCCTAATCTCCTTCTGGCTGATGGGTGTCCCAAACCCAAATAGCCATCACCCAAGACAGGTATTTTCAATCGGTCGTAGTAGCTTTAAAGCAGAGCAAACGTCACCATAACAGGGGGAATTCCGTTGAGCTATTAAATAAAGAAACTCACTGGACTACAGTTGAACCAACTTTGAAGACGTCGTTTGCAATCGTTGTGGTAATAGTTTTTAAGCTGTACCTAGGCTGAGCTTCTCGGAGCGACGTTGGAACGCTCTTATCATATTTGCTTTTTTCATCCCAGCCAGCATGCTGCGATTCCCGGGATAGGACCACAGTGGTATCCAGAGTTGTGTCAACAATGGCACAAAAGTTTTGTGCAGGTGTGCCAAGTGACAAATGTGCAAATAGGCCACTCTTCAAACCTTGTCGATGAAGCAAATTACAGATATACCCGTTGTGTAATGAGTAGATCCGCGTACATAATATTTCGCTTCTCACGAAGTGGCCCTTTGCCACGGTAGTAAAGATCCACTCTGTTGTAAAATTATTATGACAAATCGGCGCATGTATAGAACTTGCTCGAAAGCCTGCGTGGTCAGAGCAAACAAAGCTACTGAAACCCATTTCGCCACCTTCATTTGCAAAGACTAGAATCTCAATGATATGCAACTACGGATTCCTGGCTTTTTCTGCTAGACGCAATCGTGCCACTCTAACTGAGAACCAATCCAAGTTCGAACACGCAACATAGTTGACCAATGGCTCTTTTATTTTCTAGCTTGCAATAGCACAGAACACCAGTTGGGCACACTGTCATTGTTACTTCATTGGTTGATAGGTTCTACATTCTGTGGGCCTAAAACACATTCTCTTCCATGGACGGAAAAATCAAGTGTGATTCTACTATCGTGTTGCAAATTCCGGTTGAGTTTTCAAAAAAATGCAACTACAGCGATCCCTACTGCATCCGTTGGTGACCGGCGGTCACAGTTAGACCGCCGTTGCATACCCCTAGCAATTATGACAGGATAATCACCAGATCACAGCATATAATTAACCGTCACATCATGCTGCCATGCACTTACTTTTTGCGGCCTACATTACAGCCTTGTAAAACAATAAAAAAGAAAAATTCCCTTGTTCAAAACAAAACAAATTCAGCTATTTTACTCCCAAAAGGAACATTCAGCGTGGGCAAATTAATGTGTCCTCGTTTTGGGTTACTCAATCTCCTATTTTCCAAAATCACGACTCCGCAATCCTCGTGAAGCTGTTGCTCATAAAATGAGCGATCACAGATCAGCTGAACATAAGCACGGATGATCACAGTTGTTGTCGATCATCGTATGTGTCATTTCTACAGTGGCAGGTTGACGAATAATCTGTCTCTGCTAGCTTTTTTGTTCCATACTCGGAGCAAAGAGGCTAAGCAATCAAGCACCACAATGTGGTGTGGTCCGCCACCGAAGAGTTTCAGTTTTACGCAGAATTGTGGCCAAGGTAGCAAGTGCAAATAGGCCTAAATAAAGACATATTAATCAAGTATATATTATCGTCATCATCTACTGCATGGTATCAGTTTTTAACACCGAGGCTACACTGCCGTACAATCATGGTTTATTTGAAAGACTTATTGTGAAGAAAAGAATAAAGATGGACGGGAAAACACTTAGTTCTAGCTTATCACAATCATTTCGAGGTGCCTACACCTCCAGACATTTACTCAGGCAAGCTTGATAGAAACTGACAGCAAGAACGCCCCTGATTTTGGTTGACGGCCATATTTTGTAGTGTCTCCAAACAGGCACATTGAGGATCAGGCGGTCCATATCCTGGAGGGCGATTAGCACCGACAGCACCCAAGCGTTTCGTAATCTCGTTCGTAGTCCTCTGCCAAGTCAAGGGTTGGCCACCTCTCTGTTTACGCCACTCTGAGTTGGGCATAGAAGACACCACCCCATTCGGAGTCATTTATGACTCACAGGTCAGTTTTTGGAAACAGCTCGAGTGAACGGCAAATTTTCAAGCAAACTGTGCGTTATCAGGGTGCTCGGGCGTTATCCATTTGGCATAAAACTCAGAATTATCTATGGTGCCTTACCCTTGCGTGAAATCGTAGGCCCCATAATGCACCGTGCTTAGTTCCTTGCTGCTGTTTTTATTACGGCGCGGAGATGCAAGCGTAACAACCCGATTGTGCGACACACCCATACTCCATAGTGAACCGTTTTAATGTGTAACACAGAGCATCCATCCAATCATTGGGGAAGGCTGCATATTTTCCAAACATTTGGTAAACAACAGTGATAGCAATGTGCCGGTGCTGTATTGTTGTGTTCATATAAATCCAAAGTTTGAACATACCCAACACATCACCATACGGTAGTCTAATGTCACCCGATTCAAAACCACGTTGATTTTTGGTTCACCGCTCCAACTATTGTATTGTCATTTCAGCTGAAGGATTGCCTCCGGTTTATTCAAGGGAGTACGTGTATTTGTGTATTAGGATTAGACAAAGGCCCACTATATAAATTCTCGAGGGTTTCATACACCGCAAAATTGATGCAGAAACAGGCCAAACAATGATGCACATGGGTATGGATGATGTTTGAATCTTAATCAATATAAGAGAGTTTTCGGCCACCGGGTGGAGATTACCTTATTGTACGACAATGATGTGGCGTCTCACATACAACGACGGATGAAGTGAGTACAAAGAAAACTGACAGTATTATACAGGATGGCATTGGACCAAGGTAAACTATAGTCTATCTGATCCCATCAAAATTTGATTCATTTTTTCGAGTACGCGCTCTATTGAAGGTGCAAGAAAACGACAGGATGGAGCACGCATATACTTATTGTGTATAATTACAATTCTCTAAATAATGCAATAGGCGGAAATCGTCAAAACAAACTTACGTTAAGAAAGCTGGACTGAATTTGAGCAATCCTTGAATTTTCTGTCCGTAAGCAAATCTCAAAGTTTAAGTCCTTATACGCGTTAATCTTGGTAAATTCTACGTACTACCTGGATCGCTAAAACGCCAGTCTGGAAAATGTACAATTTCCAAAAGATTTTCACGACTATCACTTTTTGGCGCAATCCAGAGGTCTCAAATAAAACGATGACATTTATACAAACACACCTAACCATCGGTGCCGTATATAATATACAGACGAATCTGTAAATTTTTAATGTGGTCTTATTATTTGATAGATTGTGGTTCTGCATCCAGCTGTTAAATGTTCGATATTGCATTTGTTACACTGGAATTTAATAATTTGGCTTAAAACGTGGGTAAATGCGAAGAGATGTACTTCGTTGAAACCGTTAAACCAGGTTAAAATCAGAGTTCTTTGTCTTAAAAACGGTTAAAACTTACCCATAACGAAAACCTCTTACATGCTTGTCGACGAAACGGCGCCAAGTGTGAGATTAGAACACATTCGGAACAAGGTTTGTGTTCAGTTTTCGTTTGTATTCAATTTGTTTTTCAGACGGAAATAACTGGTCCAGCTTTCGGTCAAGGAACTCAAAATTCATCCGGGACATATCTACAGGTAAACGTTTCCCGATTCATACTGAACGTTCCTATTTTTGTACACAAATAATGCAGAATTATGACTAATTGAATTAACTGCATCATCGAAAAACGAATTCTTAATATTTTGATTTCGGAGCCCAACTGTGCCGTTACCTGGAAAATATTATTCTTTTATCTCCAAAAGACACCACACGCAAATATTCCTGTGTAATACCTCAAGAGATTTACACTATCGTCAAAGGTTAATACTTTTCTGCTATATTTCCCCACGTTTCACGTAAATATGCCCATATTTCATATAAAAGGACAAATACATAATTCCTGTCTTCTCAGGAAGAACACGTTTACCTGCAATGACCGAAGGTTTGTTTGCGCAAACCATTTTGCAGCCGAAAAATGGCCCATATACTGATATTATGCAAAATCAGTAAGAATTGTTCTGGTTCCATACTGCTTCCCGGTGTTTTTTCGCGGGTTCAGAAAATGTGCTTTGTTGCAAAGAGCCATCTAGTAATCACGATTACATCTGGAGAGTGGATAAATAAGTGATCTTATAAATTCATTCTTGGGGACACTAGAGACATCGGTATTGAAAAGCCCCATATTGGTCTGACATAATGTGGGGTACTGATTGCTGTGCATTGTATACCCACAAACGGAGATACCGAACAGTTTTAGTGTGTGCATAGGACTAGTGACGATTAGTTGCAGTCTGCGTGACTACATAGACTGTCTAAGTTAGCAGTATATATTATTACATAACATATATTTTAAGTATTATGCGTGATTGCGGAAGGCGATATACAATGGATTTGACCCGTAACGTTGCTTTTGGTTGCAAGTGCGATATAAAAATTGTAGAAGCGTTTCGATTGCAGAAAATCATCCAGAGACTCCATAGGAATATTCGCAAAATTTAGGCAAACAATTCAGGAAAAATCGGACGCAAAACCTAAGTGATTTGCAGCGGAGTTGAAGATGTTTACCAAAACGCCACCGAATCCTTCAAGCTGCGTTTTGGAATGTAAGGTTCAATATCTGCTGACCGAGAGCAAGTTTTTCATGGGAGCTTACGTGATTTCGTTCCATGGAAGCCACAACAGTCTGGTTGCCTGAATCCTTTTCCCGCAGAAGACGGAGCGCAAAGTAACACACCGATACCTGGAATATTTTATTGGACAAGCGAAAACTTGTTGAGGGAGCAACGATTGGAGACAACAAACTGCAAGTGCTATGACGGACGTTACCAACTGTCGACTACGTCGGTGGACAAATATTAGGCATAATGTGCAACAGCATCTTGGCAAGCTAAGCGTTAATTCTGTTACTAAAACTCGGGACAGTGAACCGTATTTCTAAGTTGAGGTGTTTAGTCCGTTACACATGCACTTGCAGTGATTGTGTTTAGAATTTTCCT